CAAGTTTCTCTCCTCTGCTCTCTGTTTCACTATGCAAGCACAGGAGAGGTACGTCATCACCTCTAATAGAAAGTGTTGACCAAAATGGTAGCCAAGAGCCATCTTTGAGTTTCTTCAGGCGTCTTTCTTGATAAATTACTTTGTTTTTCCCATCATGTCCCATCTTTCCATATCGAACACTTACTCATGAAAAACTTGATGTAACTATGATTGAATCAGACATCTATCGCAGGTAAATGAGAGAGGCTTTACTCTCTCTTGCTGTATTTTCAGTGCCTCTGGGTGAATTGCGTGAAATCAAATTATGCAATGGAGACTGAATTTAAGGAGAACGCATCCAAAAACACATACACCCTTTCTTCCCGTCCTCCCTCTCTATTCGGGGTATCACAGAGAGGTTCTCAATGCGAGGCACCGCTTTCTTCCGCCGGACAAACAAAGCACTCCCTGTTCGCAGCCTCTTAGCAGCCACTTCACACGCAGCACAAGGTGGAAGCCCCGCTAGCTACTCTATTCTCCCTTTAGACCTTCCGCCTGAATACTGCAAAGAGATTGTAAATGGCAATGACAGCAGGGAAGGTGACACGCCAACAAACACCCAGAGGAACACATTGAAACATTTATGTAAGTTGTACTGCAGCAGGACACTGATATCCACTGAATAACAACAAGTAATTTGGGTACGATCAAATGTAGCAGAGACTAAATTATTACAAAATGTTGTAAATATAAAGACATCACATTTATGTTTTCTGATCCGCTACAAATGAGACGAGCTTCATCTTCTGTGTCCACCTGCTTCATATCGAGCCTGCAGAAAGCACAATATTTTGTCTGACAGGATGGTCTCACTGTCGATTGAGTCAAAAACAAGTCATAATTTCTTGCTGTGCCTTGGCAGAGACAGCACAAACTACAAGTTGGTCGCTGGCCAGTCATAGCTTGGCATTTCTCAAGACTCATGATGAAGAAGGGACCAAGTACTGGAAACAAGAAGGCCAACAGATAAGGGCACAGACAGCTGTCTCGAGTTTGGAAAAAGAAAGAAACGGGAAAAATGAAGCAGGGATTGCCTGATTTCTTTGGACTCCTATTGTACGACATCACAAACACATGGTGGAAATTTTTACAACACATAAAAGAACTTTCATGTGCCATACGGAGCACCGTAGTTTTCTAATTTGGCAAAACAGAACCCATTAGTCACTCGTATGCACCCCAGCACAAAGGTAAACAACATGAATGTGCTATATTCCAGACGGAGAGATGCCATCACAAAGCAGACACACCCTGACCAGAGTGAATCCCTCCTAACTGTGGGCAAACCAAAGAAAGCTGCCATGACGCCAGCACACGTCTCACCACAGGCACTGACTGTACTCTGAGGCATCTCTAGCTTTGAGCAGGAACTGGTACAGGCTTATGATACTGACAAAAATTGATTATAGGGAGAATTATAGGACTCATCCAGCGCACGCAACAGCGTGTTCATCATATTTCAGCGGCAAATGAGGAAATTTCCCCCGCAAGTTACAGGCTTTCCTCTCCATTAACCATTCAGCAGAATGCAACAGTGGCCTTTAGGGCTTCCGCTAATCTCATATCCATGAGCTGTGAGGGCATCACGATAATGATCCACCTCTGAACACGACAGCAGAGAGCTATAACAAACCCACAGCGTGCAGAGCTCACACAGCCCTCCCTTTTTGTTATTAAAAACAGAGATACACTTCATAATGGCTAACTCATTAAGACCTCTGCTCTCACTTATTCATAAAAACAAGCAGGCAGAGAAGAAGGCGTAATGAATGAAAAGGATATTAAGCACTGTGGCGTATGTTTGGCAACAGACAAAGCTGCTAAATCCTTTACATTTCCAGAGACCAATTATATATAAAAAAAAAAAATTTTAAAAAAAGGCAGCAGAGTGTTATTCCTGTAGCTACAAAGGCTGTCAGCTGGGGAAAATAATAGTTTGAAGTAGATATGCACCAACTGGTCACTGGCTTTTCAGCTAATTAGCCTTGACCTCTGACCAGCCTTCCTATCATAATAATAAGAGTACTGTGTAAAAACTTTGGCCTGCTGATCATCTGTTATTTTGCTTCCAAAGAGTCACGCTTTTGTGAAACTTTATTGCTCAATGATTTTGAGCAACAGTTCCCCGGGCTTTCTTAAGGTTTTTCAACAGGGAGATTCCCAAAGAGCTATTAGCTAAAACATCAAATCTTGGTATGATGTGCAGTGTGTCGTTCAAGAGTTTGACAAAAAGAGCAAAAATAGCACTACCAGTAGCACTACTAGCACTACCAAAAATAGATGGCTCCATGAAGGCTGCAGAAACAAGCATAACCACCTGACCAGAGTACTGTAAAACATGCCAACTGGCTAACATAAGCCACACTCATCAAATTAATTTAGCTTTTGGAATAAGTGCAATGCATCTATCTGCCATTTAAAATCAATTTCATTTACATAACAATGTGATATTAAATGGTTTTACGTTGCTTTTGAGTACACACCTTTGATTTCTACCACTGTGGTCAGAGTTGGCCATTTTCTTCGACACTGGATGTAGGCGTTAGTCTGACATTTATTCTCAAATTCAAGTGATTAGGAAATAAGCTCCTTTAAAATTAGAAGCTTTACAAGAAGGTACAACATGTTGGGTAAGTCACATTTACAATGTGAATTCTGTCCAGTAACATGGAGCACTTTATTCCAACATCTATCCAAGTGTGTGATTAAATGAAAAAAAAAAAGTATAATCAGGTGTAGCTGTGGAAAATATTTTTATTGTTCAATTTTTTATAAACAATGCAAATTTATATTTCTTAGAAAGCAAAATCAGAATCAGCCAAGGAAAGTGGCATTTGGTGCATCAATGCTCTTTTGGTGCTCTTGCTTTATTATTATAATTTTTTTTTTTAAAATAAATGATAAAGATATAAAGATAAATATAAAGATAAGCATAATGAGGGGAAACCTGGCTGTCAGCTGACCTAAAGTGACACTATTTAGTCATCTTAGAGGCTTCTCCATGGCTACACACTGTGCACAACATTGAGTTTAAATATAGCAAAGGAAGTCTGGAATTTCCCACGACAAGATACGAGACCATGGAAACAAAGTCAAATAGTGTAAACTAAGCGGAGTGTTTAGTGCACGGCCTTCTTTGCTGATCTGAAACAACGTGTCGAGCTGTCTTTCAAATATTTTTTAGATGTAGCTCAGGGGGTTGTCATGGAGACTGAGGCAGGCAGTGGTGTCACAGTGACCTTGGTATCAGCTGAAGGCTGTTTGTCAGGATACTGACTCAAAACTTAAAGTAAATTTGTCTTTTTGGGAGTCTCTCTCCGCTTTCTTTGCTCATCATCAGTCATCGTCTGTTCCTTTCCCTCACAAACCCTCCGGCGTCGCAAATGATCTTTTCCACCACCGGACTAAAAATGTGACCTTCAGGACGTCTTGTTATGAAGAAAAAGCGGGGAAAACTAAATCAAAGGAACTAGAGCCTCCAGTCGTCATCCAACCACTCCAAGTATAGTCATTTTAACACAAATTTTGGCGTGCTCAGGGTGTGGTGAATCTCTCCCAGTTCTAATCTATGAGATGCCACATGGCTGGAGTTCTTTGTTTGATTTGTCTGAGCTCTTAATGCCTTCATTGGATGAGCGGCTGGATTTACCTGCACATGGCAAAACCCTCACCCTGCAGAGAGGAACGGCTACATGAGTGAGCTACTGTATGTGTTAGCAATGTGGTTAAAGTCATTTAACAAAAGCGTTTAACAGTTAGGCTGCTAAAATACTGAACACTATCAATAAGTAAAAGAGTGAGCTACTTACTCTCAAGTATAAAATCAATATAATTTTAAAAGTCTCTGATCAATTGAACCACATTCATAATGAACTACATAATGCAATTTCAGGTTGAAATTTTCCCAGAGAAAAACTTCCATCATCTCTTTTTTCCCCTCATGTCAGTCCTGAGGATACAAACCTCGTGTTTGCAAAAGCTTTATTGGAACTGGCACTGAACAAAAGTGACCAGGGGCTTCGTATCGAAGGCTCCGGTCGCACAGGCCTAGAGGCTGCAATCGCCTGGCAACCACCGGTTGCTAAAACTGAGTATTTGCCATCAGTTGTAGGTTGCTGGCAGTTGCTGTGAATTTGCTTGCTCAAGCCAAACTTGCTCTGACCTACAGATCTGCCAATGACCCACTGGTAACCACTAGGGAAAAACATGTATTGCTCAACATGTTGGTGAGTGGTTGTGGGTACGTTGCTGGCATTTCTTTGGCGAGTAAAGTGCAGTCACCGGCTCTTTGTGTGGAAGACACCGGCTTGTCTGCAAACACTTGCAAACGACTTGCTAAGTAGTAAAGAAACCGAAGAGGACAGAGAACATTTGTTTTCAAACTTTTACATTTCAGCTGTTATGTGATGCAAAGTTTTGCGTACTTTAAAAAGCACATCTAGGACAGGATTCATTTTGCTTGGGCAATAAACAGCGTGATGTGTGGCTTTGTTTCTTGCAACATGCCCGTTTCTACACAAGCTAAAATCTAAAAAACAAATAAAGTAAACAGCATTAAATAGACTTCTGACAGTTTGTGACTGACAGAAAAGTTTTTCTTTAAATAGGCGACAGAATCAAGCTTTCAAATGCTGTTATTTTCGCTTATGAATGAATGGATTACAACCAGCTATGACAAATCTAACCCTGTGTTTTGAGGATGTCGATGGCTGTTGGGGGAACTGTTTCATCATTTTTATGCTTCTCAACCACGCTGACATAAAATAAAAACAAGCAGACCACCAGTCAGGACTTGAGTAAGACTGATAAACCAATAAAGGGAACCATGGATGCTACTGTTTCATGCTGTGACTTAAAATAACCGAGTCTGTGTGAAAGTGAGAGGAGAAGTGGAAAGCGTGGGGCAGCGATCTTCACAGCTGCTTGGTCTGTGGCCAGGAGTTTCTGTGTGTATTTCTGACCTGAGAGATGTGGTTGATGGAAGACTCCATGCGCCGCAGCTGCGAGGCCTGGATGTCCAGCAGCTGCAGCACATTGTTGGCTAAGGCATTAATCTGGTAGGCCACGCTAGCCAGGGACTGGGTGGTGTAGGCTTTGGTTTCCTCCAGAGCTTTCCTCTTGTCCTGGGCCTGTGCACAGAAATAAAAATGTCAGTTACTATTAAAATTGACATAACATCCACCTTTTAACCTCATCTACAAGTCAGGTTTGTGCTGGCTTCAGGCCAAAAACACTGCAAAGACCATTTTCTCTCCAACTCTCAGTTCTGAGATACCACACTGTAACGGATCCTGAAGCCACCATTCAAGAGCAAAATATCCGCTTTTCTAAACTGCTTCACAGAACTGAACCTGACAGATTCAACACAATAATTCATTCGTATTATCAATAATAAAGCACAGCGTTGGTAGCAACAGTTCACTTGTAATTCAAGATCAGATAACAGCCACACCTCTGCTATTTCACATCTAGTTTAAGTAGGAAACTTTGCAACGTTATCTTACGTGCAGTTTTATTGTCCCCTTCTGTCTTCTCTTGTTTCTATTAATCTAGTTTTTCCTTTTTTTATTTTTTGTTTGCACCCTTTTAAAAAGCTTTCCAATTATTCTGTTTGTCTCTCCATGTGAATTTACAACATGAATACTCTTCTTTTTATCGATCCAATCAGTTTTTTAAAAAGGTGCTACATAATTAAAGTACATTTTTATATATCATCATGTCAAAAAAAAACACCTAGTATCATATTTTTGGTATAATCAAGCATGTCTGTGTGGCCTATAACCGGCCCACTCGACGTATATGAAGCTAAACATTTACATGTATGCAGCAATGTATTCAGTAACAATTTAACGACATGTTGTTCAGCCACCTCCCTTCAGACGGGCATAGCTCCAAGCTGAGGAGCTGTTGTGTTTGATCTCTGTGGGCTCTTCCCTACACTGCTCTCAGTCACCAAGTCCAAAGAGCACTGCCTGGAGGGTAAACGCTGGGCTTTGATAACAGGGTGCTGTAATAGAAGACAGGTGGTGGCAGCAGTGGGTGAGGTGATGATAGCTAATGGTAGCATTAAGGGGGCAAAACAGGGGGGAAAAAAAATTTGACCATATGAAGACAAGAGAGGTGACAGTGCAAAAGAAAACAAACGATCAACGCAACTAATACACAAACTGTCCATATGGCTGGCTAAAAGCTCCTGACCAGGAGAGCTGTAGCGCCGGCTTTTCCACGGCCGGTGTTTCTTTTAGCGGGAATCAAAGCGGCAGATGTGTTGGGCGATAACAGCCTCAGGAAGCAGGAAAGATTCCTCCAGAGGGTTCAGTGCAAAAGGCCATCTGTTGAAATCACACACTCGTTCATGCGTGCACGCAGACACCTACCACTGACGCCGCAATATGCAATGTGGTGCGTGGATTAACAGCTGGAGGGAAACAGATGAAACAACAACCGCAAACAAACAAACAAACAAACAAAAAAACAAACAAACAAACAAACCAGCCTTTACATCCATGATAGCAATTTCCAAATTGCAAGAGGATGCAGATTTTTGCTGTATAAACAGATTAGTGAACAGCTCGTGCTTAGCTGTGCAGAACTGCTGGCCTACATATCACGCCACAAGTTAGTTTAAAATAAATAAACACGGCCCCGAAGAGACGTTGTGCAAGATCCATTCATTATAGATATACAGACTGCAAATGCAAATATGTTGTTTGCAATGCTGTTATAACTAAAAAAAACTGCATGATTATGTTGTTTTTGTTAATGCACTGCAGCTGTAAACAGCACAGACAACCAGGCCCATTGATGTTTCGGATCACAAACGCTCAAGTGTGATGTGTAAACTCTACTGTCTCCATTTCTGTCAGACATACAAATTCATTCAAGGTTGCCAAAGCTTAAATCCAAAGAAAAGAAAACAACGTGATGCTGTTTGGGCTGCATTCTCGAACGGCTGCAGTGCAAAACGCTCCAAAACATGCACGATCGCCCGTCCTGCTGACTCAAAGTTTCCCGCGGTGTTAAGTACAGAACATGTAAGCTGATGACAGCACAAATTAACCAGTCTGTATCACTTTGAAATTGAAGGTGCAAGGCCAGGACTTAAAATTAGTGCACCACAGGCTGCCCTTCGCTTCTGTTTCCTCTCCTTTGAGACGCAGCCGCTACAACGACTTGTGCGTTAAGGAAGCTGACGTGACGAAGCAAAGAGGCCAGGCTGATCTTTCCTGGTTTACATGAAGGTAAATGTTTTACCTGCACATTAATCAAAAACTGACACTCTCAGTGAGCTGCACAGCCCGCTTTTCAGCTATTTCACTATATATTTCCCAAATAGTTAAATAACAGATCCCTCTTTGCCCTCTATTCTTCTTTTTCTGAACAGAATGATTCACTCTGCATTAGCTGCCAGAGCCGTGATATGAGGTCAGCGGTGGGTGCCGGGAGGACAGATGCAACACTTGATTGCATCGCCACTGGCGGCAATCTTAGATCCTCCTGCTCTAGTTACATCCCTGGCATCCCTAGTCCCTTTGCTGGTTCACGCATCAAATCCTCAAAACCAACCAGATTTGTTGTCCAATTACCCAGCAATCTGCACATTTCTTCAAAAAAAAGACAATGGGAGAGATGTAGTAGATCCTAAAAAATGAGAACAAACAGCGCTTTAGCAGACAAGGAACAAAGGGTGTGCACAATCAGCTCAAAACAACAGCACCGGCAAGCTGAGTACACTCTTCCACGGCAGGGAGATGCAGAGAATGAGGTGGGCTCTGAGAGAGCTTTAGCGCTCCTGGGGCACTTTATCTCATATTTCTGAGCTGAGTAATGACTGAGTGAAAGAGACTATGGAATATCCAGGCAGCAGCAGACAGGCTGTCAGCACCTGAGCTGGGTTTATAAAGGGAGTAGAGAGGAATGCGCGGGCTGACTACGCACAATAAATATGTAGCTGGGAGCTGGGGCAAGCGAGATAATCAACCACCACCTTGACAGCATAAAACACAAACACACAATCAGAGTGACAATTCTTCAAAAACCCAAAATAATTGAATGCTGCACGTACTCAAGCTGAAAAAACTCACAAAAAGATAAAGGAGTGGCAGTCACAAGAAAGGCTTTCCTGTTTTCTGCAGGGTTTTTTGAAGCTCTTGGAAGGATAGACACTCTTCATCTCACCCATCCAGTCTGGCAAGATAACGGCCACTGAAGCGCAATCGAGTTTCTGGTTTGTTTTTTTTCTTAAACAAGACGCCTCCATGTCAGGCTCTGCTGGCTGCATTAAGTGCCGTAAAAAGGAAAAACTCCTCGGGGTCAGACGGGTTCCTGCCTCCGTTCCGCCCAAAAGCAGTAGCAGAAGTAGGAAATGGACAAAATGAGTATTCCTCCTGATGATCTAACACGACTAAAAGAGGACTCAAGGAACTGAGACCAAATGTCTGTTTCACTGAATCATCCAGAAATTAGGAACATGACAAAAAACAAAAAACAAAAAAACCCAAAGGGTTCAGTGGTGGGATACATTTGTTGGTGTTGCAGCAAATGCTAGAACTTGCATAAACATTTCTGCTTCTTTTGATTTACACAGTTGACAAACCCATCTGGGTTAATGCGCTCTCACTTGTTCACAAGTGTGCTCAGCACACACACACAAAAAAAATTTAATCCCACACACTTTCAGGAATGTTTGGAATTCCGCAACATGTCATACATCCTCAAGAGCTGCTGAGGGGTTTCGCCATGAACCACAAGTGTGGGGGATGAGCTCGCAGAAGCCAAAAACAAACACAATGGGACAGAAGTACAGAGCTTTTTTTTCCTTATCTATAATCTTCAGACTGAACATGAGGAAAAACTAATCCTAGATATTAGGCCTGACAACTCCTGCAACTTTGTCTAAAGGAAGAAAACCTTAGCAGGGATCAATCCTCTTCCCAAAGCAGTACTGTGCTGAGCTGAAAGAATGAGCCTAAATCCAGCTGGAAGGTTGTAGAGCTCACATGGCACTTTGCTGCCCAGTGATGTATCGACCGCTGATTACTGCAGACTGGACGGGGCAAGATAAGTGAGGCAGCCGAGAGCTAGTGAGCCGTTGTATTGATGTGCGGAAGGTGGAGCCCATGAACGAGAGACACGTTTAAGATCTGACCACGTGTTACCAAAGCTATTACCTGATCAATTAGTTCCCTCTGCCATCGTGCAGCGATATATTACAGCTCAAACGGAAGGCAAAACTGTGATAGCAATCTGAGACCGAATGTAACTATGTCAGTACCACTAAAGTTAAAGGAAGACTGTCGTTTCCAGTTTGCTTCTGCTGTGATTTATCTTTGGTGGTGTCCGTCTGTACTGGGACTTCCCCACGCATCCATCATATTTGCTAAGTAGATCAGCTGATATGGCTGAACTGTGGTTGAGCTTTACTTTGCAGCCAGCTTAAGACAATACCTTGCTTTCTGCTTCTTACCAGTCTAGTAAACATGCATTTCAAGGCAATTACAGTCTGTTGCTTTACGTATGATGGAAATAAAGGTACTTTCGGTGCAGCAGGTATCTGACACAACCATGAAAGGACTTCACTCTGAACTAAAACCCCGGCTGACAAATGTGAGATTTTCTTGAACTGACTAGGTTTTCTGTTTGACTTCCTTGTTCTACGGTTACATTGGAAACAATTTGCTGGTCACTTTGTTCCCTAGTTGACATTTACTGCTCTGGGTGCTGGTTACTGCCAATGTATTTACCACCCCCTCATATGTCAATCGACAGTATTCTTCCCTGTGGTTGGTAGTTGCTTCAGTTGCTTGGCTAAAACTTTTCGATGGTATCTGGTTGCCACATTGCTGCAAATTGCTTTCTGTGTGGACAACGCTAACAGTTAATCAATATATCTCCAAGTTATTATTATTCCCAATTTACCAGTTACGAATGAGAAAATCCAAACTTCATAGGGCGTTCAATTCGCTATCCATACACCTCTAAGAAAACCCATCAGATATTTATATTGGAGAGGCTGCTACCACTAACTTTGGGGTATTTGTCCTTTAAAAACTGACTTCAGAAATGATCAAGTATCAGTCTGGGAGCCCATCAACTGATCTCCTATTTTAGCCTCTCAGAGGAACAGCTA